AGGTGTGTTTCCCAGGTGGGTGGGTGTGAATGTATGAGGGTGTAGGTGTGTATGAGTGTAAGGATGTATGAGTATATAGGTGTGTTTCCTAGATGGGTGATTGAGGGGTAAGAGGGTATAGATGTGTATGGGTATATGAGGGTATAGGTGTGTATCATAGGTAGCTGTGAGTGGACGTATGACGGTATAGGATTTTTTCCTAGGTGGGTGGGTGCATGATGGTATAGGTGTCTTTCATAGTTGTATTTGTGGGTGTATGAGGGTAAAGGTGTGTATGAGAGTAAGGGTGTATGAGGATATAGGTGTGGGCGGGCATAGGAGTATTTCCTAGATATGTATGGGAGTATGAGAGTAAGGTTGTACGAGGGTATAGGTGTTTATTAGTGTAAGGATATAGGTGTGTGTGTGTGGGTGTATTATGAGGATATTTGTGAGTTTCATAGGTGTGTTTTTGGGTGTATGAGGGTATGAGAGTAAGGGTACATGAAGGTATAGGTATGTTTCATAGGTGTGTGGGTGTATAAGGATAGAGGTGTGTGTGTGTGTGGGTATAGGTGGGTAATGAGAGTAAGGCTATATGAGGATAGAGATGTTGGTATAGGTGAGTTTCATAGGTTGGTGTGTGTGGCATTGTGCAGGGTGATTATGTTTGTATGAAGGTGTAGGCATGGGTGTTTCATAGGAGTTTTTGGTGCATGGTGAGGAGGGGTGGGTAGTGTTAATAAAGCAGTGGTTGAGGGAAATGAGGATGTGGGAACTCCTTTCATGAAAGAAAAAACATGATGTGCACTTAATATCTGTAAGGAACGATAGAATCCTAATGAGACTTAACCCCTCTTAAAGTTATGAATGGAACCATTCAGTGCCATGTTGTCTAATATTAATGGTTGTCATTACCTACCTTTAGTTAAAGTAGTTAAAAATGTAGTTCCTCAGTTGCACTAGCCACATTTTACCTTTTATCGCCACAGGTAGCCAGTGGTTATTGTACTAGTGTATAACTGTAGAGCCCTGATGTCGCACTGTAGGATAATACTGGACTGTTAATGGCAAGGTCAGCAGTTCAAACCTACAAGTTGTTCTCGGCAACTGTCTTATATACAGAGTTGATACTGACTCGGAAGCAGACAACAGCAACTATAGAATGTTTCTATCTTCATAGAAACTTCTAGTGGAGTACTGATTCTGTGGAAGTAAGGTTCTAATACATTTTATAAAATAAAATTGAGAATCCGGACCCTCTCCAAAATTAATAACAACTATACACTTGGAGAAAGGAGCTCTGGTAGCATGGTGGTTACGATTTGGGCTGCTAACCTGAAGGTTGGCAGTTCGAAACTACCAGTGGTTGAGCAGGAGAAAGATGAGGCTTTCTGCTCCCATAAAGATTTACAGCCTTGGAAATCCGGTACAGGGTCACTATGAGTCAGAACCAACTCCATGGCACATAACAAGAACAATACACTCAGAAACATGGTGTAGTGCTGCGGGTTAATGCACTGGACTGCAAGGTTGTGGTTCAAGCTCACTATCCACTCCTGGAAACCCTCTCCAGGGTTGCTATGAGTCGGAACCACTTGACGGCACGTAACAACTACACCAACAACATAAACTTGGAGAAAGAGCCCTGGTAACATAGTGGATTACACATGTGACTGCTAACTACAAGGTCAGCAGTTCAAATCCACCAGCTGCTCTGCAAGAGAAAGATGAGTCTTTCTGCTCCTGTGAAGTTTACAGTCTTAGAGTGACCCCTGTATAGGGTTTCCGAGTCAGAACTGACTTGACGGCACACAACCACCATACACTGTGAGAGAAAAGAATAAACCTGAGAAATAGTCACATGCATTTTTCTCATAAAATGGATTTCTAGTTTCCCCTCCAAGCATACAATAATAATAACAGTAGCTGTTGAGTCAATTCTAAGGCAAACCCCATGCTGTGCTCCAGGGAAATGGCTGAGGTTTTTTTGGAAGTCACGTCACCAGGTCTTTCTTGTAAGTCACCTCAGGACAGAGTTGAACCTTAGCTCTCGAGCAACTGAGAGCTAAAATGTTTTTTAAAACAATTCTTTGATGTACTTGGTGAAGAAGCTTTCATATGTCAGGCCAGTCTCCATGTTTGTTCAGGGAGAGAAAGAAAAGAAAAAAAGATCTGGTGTTTAAAGGGAAAGAGGTCCCCAGAAAGGATCCTCCCTGCTGTCATAACCAGTCTCCCACCAAAAAACCTTTATTTTGTTAACCTGTAACAGGTAGGACTTGTGCACATAACAAAACAATAAAACAACTCCAAACTGTGACTGAAACAAGATGGAGGTATACTTTTCTCACACAGAAAGACATCTGGGGACCAGGATTCAAGATCCAGTATTATAAGCACATGGCTCACATCTGCAAGGTCACCTGGTAGCCCAATATGGCTGCTGAAGCTGCGGTCATTGTGTCTGCATTTCAGGTTGGAAGGAGGAGGAAAGGCAGACAGGAAAAGAGGGGAACCCTTGGAGCTGAGTCAGGTGTCTTTAGCAACAGGTATATTGACAGCTCATTGGCCAGAATGCAGTCACATGACTACACCTAGTTGCTAGGAGCCTGGAATAGGTCATTCTGGCTGGCAATGAACCCAGTTAGAGATGAGGGCTTTCTTAGGAGGATGAGGAGATAAACGGAGGTTGGAGTCAGTTTAACAACCTTGGAGGGGTTCCTTGTTTGAGAGCTGAAGCCTCATTACTCTGTGGGGGTAGTCTTTGGACCAGCAGCACCAGCATTTCCTGGGAACTTGTCAGAAATGCAGAATCTCAGGCCCCATCCCAGACCTGCTGAATTAAAAATGACCTTGTATTAGGATCCCCAGGTGATGCCTTTGCATATCCAATTTGAGATGCACTGGGATGAAAGAAGTTCAGGGTTGGAATGCAAGAAGTAGTCCTTCATCCTGCTCTCTCTAGTTGAGCTCTTGCTGTACCTAAATGCTCACTGTCCCCAAACTAGGTCTGCTCTGGTGCACTGTTGGCCCTATTTCCCCCTTAGCCTGAAATGTCCTTTGCCCAGCATTCTTTGAGAACCACTCCAAACATCCTGTCCACAGGGAAACTTTGCATGATTCCCCTCACACCAGATCTCTTTTCTGGGCTCTTAGCACCTCACCCCAGCACCTACCCTAGCATGCATGACGCTGTGTAGTAATTGGGTTTCGTGTCTGCATACAGCATGGAAGCTCCTCAAAGCAGCAGCCCGGTCACCTTTTCTCTTCCAAGTGCCCAGAACAGTCCCGGGACCCTAATAGGTGCTCCATAAAGGTTTGTTAAATTACCACCTCACTTTATCGAGTGCTTATGTTATTCCAGGTTATAAGTGCTTTTAGACACATTATGTCACTTAATCCTTACAGCTGCCCTCAGAAGTAGGTGGTTGTAGTAGAGAAAATCAAGGCTTAGGGAGGTGGAAGCCCTTTTCTGAGTTCTCTGGTACAAGGCACAATGAGCCTATGAGAGTGCAGAGGCAGCACTCGGTATCGGTTATCGCCTCATGGCAGAGAGAATAGAGGCCTGAATGTTTGGGGAAGAAGCAGGGGAAGGTGGTCAGGTGGCAAGGGCAATGCCTCATCCATCCTCTGGAAACAGCAGTACCTGCATCTCAGGTGCTTGTGCTCTCCTCTCTGACTTATAGGATGGATTGGAGCTCTGGGGAAGATGTCAGCAGCTGCTGCTTCTCCTTCCTCACTCCCACTTCCCCCACCAGCCCATGCAGGTGCTGTTTTCTGGGGAGGCCACCCACCGCAAGTACTACTCTACTACCCATGGTGCTCTACTCTCTGGCCAGCGGGAGGCCGCCCGCCTCATCGAGATGTACCGAGACCTCTTCCAGCAGGGGACCTGAGGGCCTTCCTCACTGCCGAGCGTGTTCCTTCAAGAACCACTAACTCGTGACTGCCAGCCCATTCCCCATGCTGCCATATTCTCCTAACCTCCTAATCCTCTGTAGGACAGAGTTTTCTCTTTTGTAGAGATAGATGCCCTGACTAGCTTCACACCTGGCCCTGTAGCTTTCCTACTGGTCCTGACCAGGGTGGGGCCTGATAACTTACCTCTTCCTTTGACCCCTGACCTCCCTGTGTAGCCTTGCTCCCCTGCCTCATTATTGTAAGTGCCTTCAATACTTTGCATTTTGAGATAATAAAAAGAGGCTTGCCTTTCCTGTGCTCCTCAGCTTTTCTGTTCAATTGTGCTTAGCCCTGATCATTGCTTTGTTAAAATCATGCCCACTTTGGGCACAGGGAATGATTGGGGGGAGTCGAGAGAAGAGTTGTGGCCTAGCTGGCCCCAGAGGGAAGATGCCCACATTCCCTGGAAGTTGGGCTCAATGTGGTTGTGTGGGGGGCCTTTACCTTCCTGCCAGACCCTAGCTCCTTCTGATGGACCTGGCCTTTACCTAACTTCTCAGGGCCTGACTGGAAGGTGAGGCCACATGGAGACGGGAGACCCAGCAATCTCGGCTCTGCTCATCATTCATCAGTGTCGCTTGTCCAAGGGGCTCCAGATCTGGCCCGCGGGAAGCTGGAGATAAATTTGCCATTGTTTTTGGCAGGGAGATCCTCCGTCTACACACATACTTGCATATTCTGACAGCTATGTTTGTACACTCCCACACAGATGCATATACATGGATACACAGACACAGAGGGGCTTCCAGAAGTATGTGGAAAAATGGAATTTCTCCATGAACTTTTGGAAGCCCCCTCATATAGATTTTCACAGGTATATATATGAGGGGACATCAAACAGTTTGTAGAAAATTTTTGTTACCTTTCCCCACCTTTTTTAAATTGCCTTTCCCCATCATCCAAGCTAACACATTGTCTGTAAGATAAGCACTTAAGTTAACATGTGTCTGTAGTACTGCTAACATGTGTCTTTAAGATAAGTACTCAAGTTAACATGTATCTGTAAAATACCTACAAGTTTGCTTGTTCAAGCCTACCTGTCGAACCACAGGAGAAAGATGAGGCTTTCTGCTCCTTGCAAAGATTTACAGCCTTGGAAACCCTCTTTAGTCACCATGAGTTATTCTACCTCATAGTGACTTTGTATAGGGTTTCTGAGGAATGGCTGATAGGTTTAAACCACTGACCTCATTAGTGTTCTTACAGGGCTTATCCTACAGCATCACAGCAGGATTCCTAACCTCTAGTCAGGAAATAATTCTCCCTTTCCCTCCCACCCCTGGAAAATACATGAATGTTTCTTTGAGCATAAAAACTTTTCTTGACATTGTACAATTCAGGTCTCGTACATTAGTTCTTTGGTGATTGGCTAATTTCCATCAGGGGAACATGGAGGCTCTGTAGGATAAGCATGGGACTGTGAACCACAAGATAGGTGGTTCAAGCCCACCATCTACTCCACAGAAGAACTATGAAACTTTCTGCTCCCACAAAAATTTAAAGACTTAATACATTAACACAGCATGTACAACAATTAGAAACAGACCAACAGAGGGAACGCACAGCCACCAAAAGAAAAGAAATAATAAATATTAGAGCAGAAATAAATGAGATAGAAAACAGAAAAACTATAGAAACAATCAACAGGACAAGAAGAGCTGGTTCTTTGAAAGGATTAACAAAATCAATAGACCACTGGCAAACCTAACAAAAGAAAAGAGGGAGAAGACACAAATAACACGCATTAGAAATCACATGGGCGATGTCACAACGGACCCAAAGGAAATCAAAAGGATAATAACAGAATACTACGAAGAGTTGTACTCCAACAAATTTGAAAACAGATGAGATGGATATATTTTTAGATAAACATGACCTATCTAATCTTACACACAGTGAAGTAGAAAACCTGAATAGACCCATAACAAAAGAAGATACTGATCAGGTCATCAAGACTCCCAACCAAATATGTCCAGGTCCAGATGGCTTCACTGGTGAATTCTACCAAATATTCAGGGAAGAGCTGTCACCAATTTTACTCAAATTATTCCAGAAGATAGAGGAGGATGGAAAACTTCCTAATACATTTTATGAAGCAAGCATAACCCTCATGCCAAAACCAGGGAAGGATGTCACTAAGAAAGAAAATTATTGACCAATATCCCTTATGAACATAGATGCAAAAATTCTCAACAAACCCTAGCCAACAGAATCCAGCAACACATCAAAAAGATAACATATCATGATCAAGTGGGATTCATATCAGGGATGCAAGGATGGTTCAGCATTAGAAAAACGATCAAGGTTATCCACCATATAAATAAGAAAAAAAGAAAAGAACCACATGATCATATCGATTGATGCAGAAAAGGCATTTGACAAAATCCAACATCCATTCCTGATAAAAACACTCAACA